TTATTTATAAAAATAATTATTATAAAATTGATAGTTTTTTTTTAGTTCTAATAAAATTACTCATAATTAACAATAATTCCAAATAAAGTTAATTTAATTACTTTGCGCATAAATTTTCTTAATAATGATAAATTTATTCTGTTTTATATATATTAAATTATAGTGCATTCTCCTTGAAATTGCAGAATTGTGCGTCAGAATAAAAAGTGTAGCAACTTTTATAAAAGTGTATAAAGATTTAATTTTATTCACTCTCGCGTTTTTTTTTTCTCACGATTTTATTTTATTTTTTTTTATAATTTTTATTCTATTAAAAAAAGGGGGGGGACACTATACCTTTTGTGTCATTATCGCACATGCGCGTACAATAAAGTGGGCGTCTTGTTTGCAGATGATGTTGCAAATATCTTCTCGTTAAATGCAGTTTCTCTAATGGATTTTTTTTTCTCTCTTTCCCCCCCTTTCGTTGTGACTGTATTTTTTTCTATTCTAATACCGAAGACAAGAATATAGAAGGAATTTATAAAAATTACATTATTATTCATCCTCAATCATTTTAATTAACAAAAGAAAATTACTGCCTTGGACTTAATTTACACAGGTACACAGGCAAAATGTAATTGTGCAAATAAATAATTCTAATGGCTAATTTCATAATAATTCTGTTGTTATTATAGTTTAGCAAATAGAATTTTCAACTATGACCTTTCAATTTTTATAAAATATATTTTTATTAACAATAAAAATGAATTATTTTTTAAAAACATTTTTTTTTTATTTTTTTATTATTACGCAAAAGAGAATCTTTTGTTTTGAAAGTTTGTTTGTGAGATTTTATAATTGAAATCCATTCTCAGTGAGATTGTTTCTTCAGTAATAGATTTTACATTTTGCATTTAGCCTTAAGACGAAAGAGTGATAGGAAGAGGAGGTTTCATGTAAACTTAATAATAGTCTTCCGTTTGGTCGCACTTTCATCGTCCCACTTTCTCTGCGCCAAGCTCTATAACATCAATGTCGAGATCACTTGGAAAAAGAGAAGCTCGCATCTAAAATAAATAAAAATTATAATAAACAAATCGAATTAGATTTTTTTTTTTAAATTTTTTAATTTTTCTAACTATAAAGAATATTAAAGAAAAAAATTTTTATATTAAATTAACTTTAACGATATTTTAAATAATATAGTCAAAATATATCCTAAACGCATGTATAATAAAAATATATTAATATGAGAAAAAAAAAAAAGGAAAATTTTAATTTTAACGCACCTATATAATTTAACATATTTTTCCGTTGGAATTTTAATAAATAGGTTTTAAAAAGAAATTTTAGTAATTAGGGATTATAAAATAGATAATAATTATCTTTCAAAGAAAAAAGAAGCGCCCATCTTTTAATTTTTTAATTAGGGTTATTTTAAAACTTTTATATATTTCTTCACTTGGAATTTTTTAATAAAAATATCGAACAAAAAAAAATCGAAACATTTTTCCAATACAATTTTAAAAAATTTTTATTAAACAAATAGTAAACAAATATAATATAAACAAATACTAATATAATTATTTTTAATAATCGATTATTTTATTATTATTATTATTATTATTATTATTATTATTTTACATAATGTAATTAAAGGCGCATTGCCTCCTTTAAATGAGGGAACAAATAATCAATTATTTATCAATCATAATTGCTATAAAATTATTAGCTGCAAGAAAAAAATTTTTATCTGGAACAGCGATATGTTTCTCTAGAATAACGAAAATTTTCACTGTTTTAATGAAATCGCTGTTTCAGGTGAAAATTTTTTTTCCGTCGTTAATTATTATTTTTGTTTACTATTTTATTATTATTTAATTTTTTATTATTTTTTTTTATTTATTATTATTTTTTATTATTTTCTATTGGTTTTATTATTTATGTTTATTGTTTTATTTATTCAAATGTAAAAAAAAAAAAAGTAGAAAAAAAATTATTCCTTCTTCATAGAAATAATTTTCTTATTTTTCGCTTTTTAATTTCAAAAGTAAATTTTGTTTCTGACAATTATTCTTTTGACTTTTAATCATTATGTCTAAGTGCGGTTTGTGGATTTTTGAATTTTTCATACACTGGTATAAATAAGTAATTTCTGTGTATTTATATGGTGAAAAAAAAAAATTACATGTCTTTAATATAGTTGGCATGGCCATGTCTATACAAATAGCGTGTGTGCACACAATACCCGCGCATATACAACATTATATAGCGGTTTTGAAGTCATCGTACTTTAAGAATACAGTTATCTTACTAGACATTCTCATGAATGCATTTATGAATTCTGTGGTTTTTTTTTTTTTTTTTTTTTTTTTTCAAGGAAAACGTGACAAATCTTTGCTTCCTGCTTTTTGTTAATTTTAATTTTGTTAGTTATGGCAATAATTCTGTATTTAAAATCCCCCATGAAGAAAGAATTGCAATTTCCCGGAGATTATTTCATTTTACTTGCACGTTCTCGCAAATATTAAAATATAAAAATTTTCTAATTCTTTGCGAGATTGAAATATGTATTTTATTTTTTTAATCATTTACAATAGAAAAGTGGAAATGTAAAATTTTAACCTGACAATTTACAGTGAAATATTAGAAATATTTTGCCTAAAATTATAAATGGTATTTTTTAATTGTGAATTTTCAATTATTTTAAAAATTTTTAATGTGTAAAAATTATAAAAGTATTTTTATATTTAAATAATTTTTCACTACCAAATTAAAAATTTATTAACATTGTATTTTTAATTAATGGGGATTTAAAAATTTCTAATTATTTAAGCAATGTCAGAGACTTTCTCTGTCAGACATATATATAAATGAAAACTCATTACTATGTCCCTCGTATATCGACAAAGGCTACACCCTTTAAACCTGTATTTGTGTAAAGATATGTCGTGTAGGAGTTCTTCGAGAATGCATACACTCTCATAAAACTCATTCACACTTGATTGCGTACTTTGTATATATAGATATATAAATATTCTTGCGGCTCTGCGAAAGTAACGAGAGTCCTTGGCATATGTAATAAAACTGAAATCATAAATATAACGTGAAAAATATCTGATTTTTTTTTCTAAACTCACACCGCAAGAAAAATTTCATTTTTATTCAAAAAAAAATATATATATACAAACATGGGTATTATAATAATAATAACTTATTTTTTCTAAATTTCTTCTAATTGCCCAATTTAAAATTATAGAATTTGTTTAATTATTTATTTTTATTACTATTATTTTTTTATTTTAAAAATTTTAAAAAAAAATAATTTCAATTTTATCCAAATGCGTCATATATTTTTTTTGTGGAAAAAAAATTTGACTCGGGTATTCCCCGTTACGACACAATCGTTACCTGCTATTAACACACAATTCGTGGATATAAAAGTTGTTTTTTTTTTCTTACGCTTATTCTTCTTCCTCATCTTTGTTCATAAATAATGACTCAATTCTTTAAAAAAAAAAAAATGCACAAAATGTGTTCGATTATTTTTCACGACTTCGCGCAAGGTTTGTAATTACGTCGACGAAACCGCGTGCTTATGTATAGGGTCAAAAATTCCTATAAACAAGTTCAGAGAGAATAAGATCTCTTCGATTATGTCTTAATTTTAGATGTTATCGACTCTCCTTAATATAAAACTACTTTCACATTCAGATTTATGTTTCCCTCGAATATATTTCCTGACTATCATTATTATATTGCGCTAAACAATTTTTCACTTATATATCCCAAATATCTCGAATAGTGCATATTTTTTTTTTTTTAAATTCCACAATGTCGGTATAATAATCGAAACTTTCAATTATTGAGCAATTTTTAAATTATTCTATTATAAAATGTCGATTCACATTTTAGATAAGGAAATTCCGCGTATATTGTGTGCTTCACCTCGAGTTTTAAATTTGACATTTATATTTGATACGAAGCTGAAGTACGCAACGTTTATGATAAACGATTTTTAAAGAATTAATTTTTTAAAATGAAAAATTCTATAATTTTTCGCCTAAAAAATATTTCTTGTAGTTTTCATTAATTAACAACAAATTATAAAAAAAATATTTTTTAGGCAAAACATTATAGAATTTTACATTTTAAAAAATTATTTCTTTAAAAATCGTTTATCCTAAACGTTGCGGTACTTCAGCTTCGTTATTTCATTGAACTAGCAAAATTGCAATGATTCAAATTTTTAATAAAAATGTTTTTAAAAAAAAAATTCGTTAAATGAAAACTATTTTTTTATTGAAAAAACAATTTTCTTTTTTTTTAACCGATTCACAATTGTATAAAAAAGCATTTTTTAATTATAAATAAATAATTAATAAAAAAAAAAAACTAATTGTAATTTTAAATATAGCTTCAATTTCAACTGAGACAAACAATATATATATATATATATATATATATAATTGTTTCTTATAATGTTTATTAACGATTTGAAGAGAGAAAAACATTATTTTTTTTAAAAACTTCAGGGTCATTTAATATAATAACAATAAATAAATATTTCAAGAGAACTTTTATGTCTTTGTTTCATCTTCAGTTGCAATATGAAGAAAATTAACATATACACAAACCAGACATATTAGCCTTCAGACACATTGGCGGCGTTTGAAATCGCGCAAAACGTTCGATTATTATAGTCAAAAGGTCTTGAGATTCACACTCTACTTGATCTGAACTCGAAATTCAGGAACGTGCATATCAAGGCCGATCTCTCAACGAGCTACATTTCTTCCAACGGATTCTTTGCTTACCTCTCTCTAATTACGTTGAATTAATTAGAACTCTTGCTTTGAGCAAAAAAAAATCTTTTTTTTTTCTAAAAAATTAATTTTAATCAAATAAATTGAATTTTATTCTAAAAATTGAAAATAATTTCAAAAAATTATAAATATTAATAATAATTTTTATTTCTTGGATGTTAATAATTTGAAATAATTTTTTTTCCTTTGCAGATGGACAATTCAGCAACAGTGCTGACAATACTCCTCCGGTAATGTGGTTCGATCGAAATATTCGACTATGGGACACAGATCAAATTGGACATCAAGTTATTAAAGTAAGAGCTGAAGATTCTGAGGATGATGATTTAACATTTAGCTTGGAAAAGAAAGACGCCGATTCTCAAGAGCCGCTACCTTTTTCAATCAACAACATGACTGGAATCGTCGTTGTAAATGAGACGCTTCAAGGAAGAGTAAGTAGGATGAGTCATTGTATGCGGCTAGCGTACCTTTTATACTTAATAAAGAAAAACCTTTTACACACAGACTCAGACGCAAAAACTGGCTTTAAAATCGACCTGAAATTCTTCTTCTTCTTCTTCTTCTATTTCTCTAACGCATGACTCAAACCATGTTCGAATCAATTTTAAAACTTAAAGATTCGATTGCACAATAAAACTGAATTTTTTTTTTTTTTACTACAGATCTTGAAATAATTTTTTAAATAATCATGATTCGTATCTTCTTTCAAGGAGATATATTGAAATTCTTTCTTTGAATTTAATGAGAATTTATTTTAAAACGCTTGAAAATATTTTGCAGCTTTTTTTCTTAAATTAAAACCGTTTATTTCAAAAATAGTATTGATTTTATTGTCATTTTTATATTACCCAGCAATTGAATCAGTAAATCCGGTTTAGACTTATCTTTATTAACTGTTTCCAGGGAGGACAAGAGCTATTCTTCTACGTGACCGTTTCTGATGGAAAAGTAGCTTTAAAGTCAGAAGCCTACGCTTTGATACAAAAAAACGAGACAGAATCGAATGCAGGTCACACGAGGTAAATATATATTTTTCCGATAAAATATATTTTCAAATGATAATAAATCTTTTATCAATAAAAAAATTTATTTTTCAATTTGAAAATTTAAAAAATTTCAAAAATATTTCATAGAAAGTTTTGCGAAAGTGTTCCTGTTTTTCAAGTTGTCTTTTTTTTTTACAATTTTACGCACACGAAAAGGAATCATATCTTATATATATATAATAATTTTGGCACGAAACTTTCTTTCCCTCTCGAAATTAATTAAAATCGGTAGAGGTGATCGTTTACTTCAGGGTGGTGGGAGGGAAAAAAAGTGAAATGTGACCTAAACCACTTTCTCTTTCACTCCCTCATTTATTGATGTCAGAGTCTGGTAGTTTCTAATTTGAAGAATCTTTTCTTTCTTACGCAATAAATAATATGTTTACGATAATCTTAAATAACGGATTTTAAAAAATAATAATAATTTACATTTTTAGATCGCCATTTCAACCGGGATCAGGTGGACGTATGAGACCGCCAATTTTAAAATTACCCAATTTATCGGGTTATCCTCGACCTTCAATCTCTCAACTTCCAACATTACAACCATCGTCGATTGAATTCCCACAAACTGTCACCAAGCCAAGAACAACGAAATTACAACCACAAGGGGCAAAATTAGATGAAAATGAAGAACAACGAACGAGTACTGTATTTCCTGCGGAAGCTGACGAGGTCAATAATGAAATTGAAGGTCATACATTGAGTACTAAAGTTGCTCCAAGTGAAGCACCACAATCGCAATTTATTGCAATGACCTTCATACCTGTTGCCGCTGTCTGTATACTTCTTCTTATATTTGGTGCTGGCACATGGTTCCTTCGAAACAGGTTTTGTGGAAGTCGAAAGTCCAAGGAGGACACGGTATGAGGAGTTTGTTTCTTGGATTATCATTTTTTCAATTGAGAGATCAACCCACATCCAAACATGTCATCCTTTCTCCTTTCCCTCTTTATTTTTTTTTTTTTTCACTTTTCATTCGTTTATGATATACTTTCGATTTGATTCTTTTTTTTCCCCCTTCAGCTCATATTTCATCGAAAGTCAAAAAACGATTTCGTAATTGTATTATATTTTTTAATTGAATATTGATTTAGAGTTTTTATTTCAATTGACCTACTTTGAAAATTTCTATTTTATTTTCATTATTGGAATTGTTTTTAGTTTGCAAATTAATTGTCATTTTAATAAAATTGCATTTGTTGGAATTTTCACATTGCTAAAATTTTTTCTAAAAAGTTGAGAAAAATTCGATCCTTGGAAGGAATAAAATAACATAAAAATTGTATGTTATGAATATTGTTTATTGTCACAAAACAAGAAACGACGTTTCGATGACTTGGTTCGTCATCATCTTCAGGTTAAATTTACTGAAAATATTTATAATTTTTATTTATAACACCACATTATTATTATTATTATTATTATTATTATTATTATTTTTTTTTTTTTTTAAATAATAAAGAATAAACAAGTAATAACAATTACCAAAAAATTAATTGAACCGTTACATCTTAGCGTTAAAATTTTTTTTTTTTGCACAGACCATGCTGGCACGTCAGGTTTATAGACCGGTATCGTCAAGACTAAATTAAAAATACATAAGATGTAACGGTTCAATTAATTTTTTGGTAAATGTTATTACTTGTTTATTCTTTATTATTTAAAAAAAAAAAAATAATAATAATAATAATAATAATAATAATAATAATGTGGTGTTATAAATAAAAATTATAAATATTTTCAGTAAATTTAACCTGAAGATGATGACGAACCAAGTCATCGAAACGTCGTTTCTTGTTTTGTGACAATAAACAATATTAATAACATACAATTTTTATGTTATTTTATTCCTTCCAAGGATCGAATTTTTCTCAACTTTTTATTAAACATTCCGGAAGGGAAAATCCTTACTCTACAAATATAAAATTTTTTCTTTTAACTGAAGTTTAATTTTAAAATAATTGTCCATTCATCGAATTTTTATTCAATTTTTGCATTTAATCAAAGTAGCATTTAGTTTCATATTCAATCGATTTTCAATTTATCCAACTTTTCAAAAAAAAATCTCTCTTCTTTAGATCGAATTAAAAAAAAAAATTAAAAAATTGAAAACTATGTATGAAATAAGACAAAAGTATAATTATTCTAATGTTTTTATGAACTTTCAGAAGGAGCAAGCCAGTGTTAGTGTTTCAAATATATCGGACGATCCATCTCTAGTCCTGAAAAGATGGGGAGGACCAAAAGCTCGTAACAATCGTTATGAGCCATGGGAAAAGGAAAGTCGATTGGGCATCCAAAACAAATCGCATAAAGATAAATGGGAGTTTCCAAGACATAGGCTAAAGGTTGGTAAATTGATATTATTCAAATCGTCATTGTTTTCTTCATCATCAGATTATTAAAATTCTATGTCTCTATCGAAAATTATTGGTTTCTATACTTTTCTTTTTCAAATTCAGGTCTTCAGTATTCTTGGAGAAGGTTGCTTTGGCCAAGTGTGGAAATATGAAGCCATAGATATTGATGGTATACCAGGACCAACAATTGTTGCTGTGAAAACATTAAAAGAGAATGTCACGGAGAGAGAGAGACTGGACTTTGCACAGGAACTCAAAGTGATGAAAAGCCTCGAGCCACATCCAAATGTGGTTAGATTACTTGGATGTTGCACTGAACGTGAACCGATGTTTATCATTTTGGAGTATATCAGCGGTGGGAAACTTCAAAGTTTTCTACGAGCCTCGAGAGAAGAGAGAAATCATGGAAAACCTGGTCTCACATCGAGGGATTTAACTGGTTTCGTTTATCAGGTATTTTATAAATCAAATTTAAAAAAAAAAAAAATTCTCCATATTTTTTGAAATAATTTAACGAATTTAAATTTAACCTTCGCTTGACAAGATGCCCACCCAGGGTGGGCCAGACAAATTGAAATTGCCATATCTTCTAAAGTTTTGCCTTAATTGAATCGCGATTTTAAGTCACTGAACAAAATCTTAAGAACTTTCAAAAAATGTAAAAACAACTTTTTAAAAAAAATTTCTTCTTGATTATTTATAACTTTTATCAATGTATGTACGGAGATAACCGGGATGATTCAGATATTTTTTTAATTCTATTTTACAAAAAGACTTGAAATCATGCAGACTTTTCACTGTGAGTGTTTTATGATGTCAAATAATAGATATAAAAAATATTATATTGCATTTTTCATTTGTTTAAACAATTTATTGTTATTATTTATTAACTTTCTTTGTTCTGCACCTAGAAAGATGCAGTTTTTTTCTAATTTTGCAATTTATCAAGCGGAATATAATAAAAGATAGATTTGATGTAAAATTATTAATTCAACAATTATTTAAACAATTATTGTTATTATTTACTAACTTTTTTTGTTCTGCACCTAGAAAGATGCAGTTTTTTTCTAATTTTGCAATTTATCAAGCCGAATATAATAAAAGATAGATTTGATGTAAAATTATTAATTCAACAATTGTTTAAACAATTTATTGTTGTTATTTACTAACTTTTTTTGTACGGCACCTGGAAAGTTGCCGTTTTTTTCTAATTTTGCAACTCATCAAGCCGAATATAATAAAAGATAGATTTGATGTAAAATTGTAAATTCAACAATTGTTTAAACAATTGTTAAATTAGTAAATTTATGTCAAATCTGTCTGGCTATATTAAATTCGGTTTGATAAATTGCAAAATTACACGGAGAAAAAGAAAAAGTAATTTTTACTACTTTCAGAGTAAAACTGGACCAACTCGAAGTTTCTGCGCATCTCTGGCAATTTTTACTCCAAAAATAGTAAAATTTATTATTTCTGTAGTAAATTTTACTGTTTCCGTAGTAAGTTTTACTATTTCTAGAGTAAATTTTACTATTTTTGGAGTAAAAATTGCCAGAGATGCGCAGAAACTTCGAGTTGGTCCAGTTTTACTCTGAAAGTAGTAAAAGTTACTTTATAAAAGAAATCTTTTTTCTCCGTGTAGGAAAAAACTGCATCTTTCTAGGTACACTACAAGAAAGTTAATAAATAACAATAAATTGTTTAAACAATCGTTTGAATACTAAATTCATATAAAATCTTCATGTTTATTATGTTGAGCTTGTTAAGTTGCAAAATTAGAAAAAAATTGCAACTTTCTTGGAACATTATAAAGAAAGTTAATAAATAGCAACAATTATTTGTTTAAACAATTGGTTAAATAGTAAATTCATATAAAATCTTTGTGTCATTAGGTTGTGCTTGTTAAGTTGCAAAATTAGAAAAAAATTGCAATTTTCTAGGAATATTATGAAGAATGTTAATAAATAGCAACAATTATTTGTTTAAACAATTTATAATAATAGTTGTTGCAAATTGAATTATATATTTTATTTTATTTATAACCTTTGAATTAATAACTACGAAGAAAAGGTAACAAATTTATAAAATTCTTCTACTGTCGTATGTATATTTGAAATAGTTATAAATTATTAATAATAAATTGTTTAAACAAATAAAAAATCAACAAAACATTAATAAAATATATTATTTGTTAACATATAACAATTTTGGAAAAAAACTGAATGATTCTAAGTTTTTATTGCAATATACAAAGAAGAAAACATTTGGCCCACCCTGGGTGGGATCTTGTCAACCGTGTATATAAAAAGTATCCAGTCCGGCGAAGGTTAAATTAACATTGTAATTAATTTGAATAAATTTCTAATTACAGATTTCAAAGGGCATGGAGTATTTAGCATCAAAGGGCATAATTCATAGAGATCTTGCTGCTAGAAATATTTTAATAGACGAGAATAGAGCGTGTAAAGTTGCTGATTTTGGATTTGCAAGAGACGTAGCGGCAAATCAAATTTACGAAAGAAAATCAGAAGGACGACTTCCAATTCGATGGATGGCGCCTGAAAGTCTCTACGATAATATATTTTCCGTAAAATCAGATATTTGGAGTTTTGGCGTTCTTATTTGGGAAATTGTCACTCTTGGTTCAACTCCCTATCCTGGATTAGGAGCTGCTGAGGTAAGATTTTTTTTCTTTTTGTAAGATAACAAAAAAAGATATTTAAACATTTCTAAATTCTAATAATTAAATTTTCTAAATGAAATATTTATTTTTAGGTGATGAGGCGAATAAAAGAAGGCTATCGACTTGACAGGCCAGAACATTGTAAGCGAGAACTTTATAATATAATGTATTACTGTTGGGATAAGGATCCGGCGTGTAGACCCTCATTTGGCGAATTGGTAAATTTAACTGAAGGACTTTTACTTGATGAAACTGATTACATTGAACTAGACAGGTTTCCGGATCACTCGTACTATAACGTACTTAATTTGAGTGGTGAAAAGCTGTGAATAGTGACCTTTTATTTTTCTTAATGATGAACTTAATTTGATTAACATCACGATTATTTGATCGGTTGTGTAATAATACTCCAATTATGTAAATATTTCTTTCTAGTTTTTAATATATTATTATTACTATAATATAAATATAGAAAGTTGTTGAGAATTTTTCAAAGAAAAATTTTACATTTGAATATTTAAAAAAGCATTTATTAAAATTTGAAAATATTCAAATTGACAATATCTAATCTCAATGTTTATGAAATTTTGATATTATGAACAATTATTAATTATTATTTAATGTGATGATGAATGTTATAACTATCGTGTTATTATTTTATTATGATAATGTGTAAATTTTAGAAATTGTGAAAAAAAAGGAATATTGTTTTGTTATTATATTGATGAAAAATTATGAAATATTTGATGTTTCATGATATCAAAAAACTATTTTATATTTATAATAATAAGTATTGTAATTTATTTAAATAGATTATAATACAAATTTGAAAAAAAATGATTTTATCATTTTTCTCACATATTTTAAATTAAGAAATTGGTTTGCATTTGAAAAAATTATAAAAAAAAAAGATTCGTTACCAAATTGAGATGTATATATGTACTAAGTCATTTTTGTCGTTAATTTTACACTATAAATTGTAATAAAGCATTGGAATAAATGTTGTAACTTAAAGATTTTTGTCTTCTTTTTAATTGCACATTCTTGAAAAAATAACAGTTGTGTCAAAATAGAAATTAAACTGTTGCAGGACAAAAATAACTTAAACTATAAAAATATTTTAATTACGTTTTTTTTTATAAATTGATTCAAATTTACCCGCTCTATCCCTTCCAGTTGATGTTTAAATTTTGGCGCCTTTCGTCTGTCGATGGCGCATGGCACTTTAGAGTCTTATCAGCTGTTATGAAATCGGCTTGTCAGTTTGTATAAAAAAAATATAATTAACACTGTTTTATTCATTAAGGTAATGCGTTCGTGGGAAATAAAGCGTTTCAAAGTTTGATTCTTATTTCATTTTGCATCATGGAGTCAGAGAAGAACGGTGTTCCTTACTCACAAAGTGGCGACAAAGAGGAAGATGAGGTTAGTTTTTTTTTACAACCTTGACAATCAATATTTTATTATTTATTATTAGTATTCATTTATTTAAAATCTATTAAATATACAATCATTACAATTTCTACTTATTATAAAGAGTCTTTTTGGAATTTTTTAAAATAATCTTATGTCATTTCTTCTTTTTTCTATTAGATTGCATTTTGTAAATCAATTTATTTTTAATTTATAATAAACATTTTTGAAAAATGACTTTGTTAATGTTTGTAAATAAAGTGTTTTTTTAAATACACTTAATTTTATTAATTTAAATAATAATAATTGAGTTCTTAACAATTGAATATAATTTTTTTTTAATTTTTGCAAAAATTTTAATTAAATCTGTGTGTGATACATTTTTTATAATGAATATATTATTTTTACTATGAAATATATTTTTTAGAAACTACTGAAGCCATTTACTTATATACTTCAAGTACCTGGAAAACAAATTCGAGGAAAATTAGCGCACGCTTTTAATTTTTGGCTGAAAATTGCCAATGAAAAAATTCTGGTAGTTGGTAATATTATTCAAATGCTTCACAATTCAAGTCTTTTGTAAGTAATTATATTTTTCCAATAATTTTTTATATTTTTATTATACCCATAGAATGTTGAGAAAAAAAGCTTATTTAAATTTTTGAATATTCATATCAATGAAATATTTATTTATGTAAAAGTTTCTTTCCAATATCTATCAAACGCGTTATTTGTTTTATAATTTATAAAAAAAAACAAAGTTTATTTTAAATAAAATTTACAATTTAAATAAACATTTTTGGTTTATTTGTTAATTGCATCAGATTTTAAAATAAAATAGAGATTAAAAGATACATTTCTTTGTTGAAATAGATAAAATCTTACAATAGATTGAAATATAATTATAATTATAATTATTACATGAAAATATTGTATTAAAAGAGATTTCTACAGGATTGATGATATTGAAGATAACTCGATTTTAAGAAGAGGAATTCCTGTCGCACATTCAATTTATGGAGTAGCTAGTACAATCAATGCTGCAAATTATGTTCTTTTTATCGCTTTAGAAAATGTTTTATCATTAAATCATCCTGAGGTTTGTTTTTTTATTCCTAAATTAAATATTAAATATTTTAATTAATATGATTATTTGCTTGATAGTTAATTTTGAAAATTTCTGTCTTAAATTTTTTATTAAGAATTAATTCTTTTCACTTTAAAGGAAAAATTCACAATTTCAAAAACTAAAAAAAAATTTGAGAAAAAAGTTGTACTGACATTGACTGTAAATAAATAATCGTTTTAAATATTCATATGGAAATTGTAAAGGTCTTTGTAAATGTCATATAATATAATAAATTGTTATTATTATTCATGTGTAAATTTAGAAATTAAAAAATATATTTTACTGAAATTGCCAGCAAATAAATAATCGTATTAAATATTCATGTATAAATTTTGAAATAGTAAAATTGAAGTAATTTTCTACAAATCAAAATGTAAATTGGTTTCTTTTGAATCAGGCGACTCAGGTGTTTACTGAACAGTTAATGGAATTACACCGCGGTCAAGGTATGGAGATTTATTGGAGAGATAATTTTATTTGTCCTTCGGAAGATGAATACAGAACTATGACAATTAGAAGTTAGTAAGATTGAACGTAATTAATTAATTAAAATGAATAATGACTAATGGAGAATTATTTTAACAGAGACTGGAGGTCTTTTTAATCTTGCAGTAAGATTGATGCAACTTTTTTCCGATTGTAAGGAAGATTTTGCACCGTTAGCTGGAATTTTGGGCCTGTATTTCCAAATTCGAGATGATTATTGCAATTTATGTCTCCAAGAGGTAGAAATTTCAATATTAAATTCTAAATATATTTTTAATTAAGGGAACAAATTTTAAATATTAATTTTAAATCAATTTTAACAGTATACAGAAAACAAAAGCTATTGTGAGGATCTTTCTGAGGGTAAATTCAGTTTTCCTATCATACACGCAATTAAAAATCAACCTGAAGACGACCAAGTATTGAGTATCCTTTGTAAAAAATTTATTTGTAAATTTAAATTTTATTTATTTATTATTTTTTTCTAATTAAACAATTTTAAAATGTTTTTCCTTAATCGAAACTCACAGATATTTTACGGCAACGAACGAAAAAAGTGGAAGTGAAAAGGTACTGCGTTAATCTTCTAGAAAAATTTGGTTCTTTTAAGTATACGAGAAACGTTCTCTCGGAGCTTAATGAGAAAGCAAGAAAAGAAATAGAAAGGTTGGGTGGTAATCCTTATCTCATTTCTCTTTTGGATGAATTACTTACCTGGAATCGAGGTTAAAATACAATTTTTAGACTCAGCACAAAAATTTAAGAATCTTTTTCTATTTATAATTGTCAAACATAATTTTTTGTTTATAATTATAAATAGATTATTCTTTGTGATGTTGAAAAATTATAAATTTTCTCAATTTTTTAAAAAATGAGAAGAACAAGTCTGTCATTAGATGCATATAATATATATTTAAAGGAGCTTTCGATGTTTTGTTTAAAACAGACAATAATTAATATTTTTACTATATAAACAAAACGGGCTCCTAGTTACTACTTATACATTCAGGGTGGTTTTTTTTTTGTGTGTGTTAATTTCCATATTTTTGATATTTCTTTGTTATGAGAACTTATTTTTTTTATCTTACAACGACGAATTATTTTGTTTATTGTTAATATTATTATCTATTTTGGTAAGTAATTTAATAGGTAAATTTAAATAGAATATTAATATTATTCTGTCAAATGTAGAAAAAATTAGAATTTTTAGTATACAGAATTATTTACTAAATAATATTTAATAGTCTAATAAAAACATAATCAACGAAATTTCCGTTCTTTATTATTATTATAAACAATTATCCATCGATGCTCATAAAATATCGATAATTATTTTACAATTAGCACATCTCTATTTTATTACATATCTCTAGTTTTAATTAGACTTTTAAGTACATAAAAAACTCATACACTCTTCTATAGATATATTTACATCAGTATTTATACATTTATATCTTTTTTTTTCTTGGCACCGGAAAATTTCACAAAAGCTTAACATTTTCACATTAACAGTCAACATTTTTAAATTAATGTTTTTAATTTAAAAAAAAATGGTGCATCTTATAAATAACTTGTTTCTTAATTTTTTCAATAATTTTAAAATGTTTACAAAAAATTATGCTTTTGAATAAGCGAATTTAAATAAATAAATTAAAATAACAATACAAAATTTTTTTCCAGGCAATATTATTTTTTTTAAAGAAACTAAGATAATGTCGCAATTTGACAAATCCTTTGTTCTGGTTCGCTATCTTCGTCGGTTTCGCTAGCCCACGAAGATTGTCTTTCTTGTCATATTTCTCCATCACTATCAATGTAACGACCTTGTGAACCCGAAACGTCATCGAAGACTTCCGTCACCTATTATTAAAGTCAATTACTTTATTTATTAACATATTTTTCCATTTCTTTTATATATAATTTTTTACAATTCTTAATTATATTCTAATTATTATTTATTTATTAAATTGATTTTAAATTATTTATTTATATTATAATATTTTTATTATATTATTTTTCATAATAAATATTATTTATTATAATTATATTTATCATATAAATAGGTATATAAATACATTTAATTATAATATTATATGTATATAGTAAAATAAACGAGACTTTATTCAACTTCAAATATTTGAATTCAAAAAAATTTGCCGCCCTTTATACAGGAAGAATACTTTCCTCGTTTAACACAATTTAACAAACGCAGGACTAATTATTAACTATTATTTTTAATTATTAATTATTTTCTATTACGTTTATATCATAATTCATCTATTTAATGTGTGAAAAATAGTTTTTTCTCTAAAGTATTAATTTTAATGTAAAAGATGTTAGTTTGACGAATGTAGTACATGCAAGTTTCAGTCTTCCGGTTTTGTCCGCGCCGTTTTCATAAAACCGTTGTCGCGTTTCATATTTTACCAAATTTTCGCGTTATTATGATGAAACAAGTAATTTATTCAAGTAATTATTGTTGTTACAGTGATAAAGCATCAAATAGTGCTATAATTTAAAATCGGGAGTGAAAATTTGATAAAATAATAGCTTCTGAAAATTTTGATCTGTCGGCATCAGTTCGTACTTTGTTCACTGTTGTCAACTGTCGTTGCTCTCGGCATAACTGGCGATTTGTTTTTGTTCATTTTCGTGTATTTTTACAAAACAATGGATTGTATTTGTTGGTTTATTGTTAAAAAGTATATTTAAAAATCGTGAGCAGTGAAAATTAGTGTCTTGTGCGGTTATATATTGGACAATACGAGTCGAAATATGAAGTGTTGTGTGAGTGATTTGTGCATAGTGAAGAAACCACAATTAGATTGAATCAATGGAATTAAAAGGTAACAATTTTTGATATTTACATAAGTGAGTAATTAATTTATTGTAATTTTCTTCTTTCTATCTTAGTTTTTAAATTGTATGCTAGTATAAGAACAAATGTTTCTGAAAATTTCCCTTGCATGCACCATAACCTCAAAAAGTAATGAAATTGCCAATTTACAATCATTCGACTTCAATGAAATTTTTAGAAATTTGTTTATTTTATTATTTTTGACGGTTCTTTTTAGATATATAGGAGATATTTAATATTAAATATTATTGATAAAAATCAAAATCTTACTAAAACATCTTCAAAATGATCGTAGCATTCTGGACGTGTATGCAAAAGACTTTCTCCCAGTTGATCAATTCCTGCATTAGTTTGATTAGGACTTCGATTATCTAGAGCACTAGTTGCAATATAAGCTAGAGATAAAACAGCCAAAAGTCCAGCTGAAAAAATAATAGATCAATTTAATTACAAATTAATTCGAATGTATCAGAAATAATTCCAGATAAATCACTAGAATTTTTTTTCCATATTTTTACATTTTTATTAACTTATTTAATTTTCTAGTAATTTCTCTAAATTGTTTTTGTACTTTTTCTTTAATTACTTAATTTCTTGATGAAATAAGTTTTTCACACGTTTATCGACTAATTTCATATATAAAATAAAATAATAAATTATATTTATAAAATAATAGTCTTCTTCTTTTTTGATATTATTTCGACAAAATAAATCTAATAATTGTCTCTTGTTTGCAGTGAGTTAAAGGGAATTTACTCTCTGTTAGAACGGATTTTCAGATTTGCTTTGCGACTTTTGCTTTTTCAAGTTTTTCAAATACAAAAGAATCTTCTGTTTTCATGTTTTTGTCATTTTCTTGTCGTCATACAGAGAGAGAGAAGCAAGGGATGAGCTTCTACTTACCAGCAACAAAAGAGAGCCAAAGTCTGTATGGTTTCCAAGCCAAAATGCAGGACACGGGGAGGTAAAACAAAGACCTTCGCCAGCCCCTCGTTATCATCAGAACGCTCGCCCAGCAATTCCAACAAAGGGACTCGTCGTTTCTGGAACAAAGTTCACTTTCAGTTCATTCTTGTGAAAAGGCAATTGATTCTTCTCACGTTTCATTTAATCTTATATATTCAACTCTTTGAGGAATTTAAATGTATCGAATATCTCTCATATATATATAGCTCTCTTTTCCCTCCCCTTCTATCTCTAAGAGATGATCATTTCCCAAAATTAATTTCTTCACAGACTAAAGAAAAATATCTTCTTTCATGTTCGATTTCTCTATTTTGTGAAGCGATCATTATTTTCTTAAATAATTGCTCTCAATGTGAATTTAATGATATTCAAGTTTTTTTTTTTTTTTTTTAATGAATCTTCTATTTTTTCCCAATTTTGATTATAAAAATAATTATTTTTATTTACTAATTGTACTAATAAATTTAATCGAATTTGCTGTTTTATTTAATAAAATAGAAAATAATCAGAGAGTGAGATAAGGGAAATGATTTTTATCACTTTAGAGAATTCCGGATTTTCTGTGGCACAAAATTAACGGAAGCTCGCACGTATATCCTTTCTCCTGTCGCCGACAAATTTGCCCCGGAAATTAGAGAAAATTACAGGTTCGCACTGATTACGACAATTGGCAGGCAGATGGAGGAAATTCTACTATATAGAAATAATCAATTTAAGAATTTCGTTTTTCCTCTCTTGAAATAAAATAAAATATTTCCTATTGGTATAAAAGAATTTCTTCAATAAATTCTAATTTGATTAACATGATCGTTTTTCACAGTTGAAATCTAATAAATTAGTTCGAAATTCTTTTCTCTACAAAATAAGGGGATTATGCAAATTCGTTTCTAAATGTACATGTTGATTAATTATTATATAATCTTGATATAATGAATTAAAATTTTGTCTATAATTTAAATAATAATATAAATAAATGACAAATTTTAATTTATTATATTTTACAATTGATTACTCGTTAATTGACTTATTTGTGTGCGTTCAATCATTGTAAATATATTTCTAAAAAAAAAAAGGAAACAAAATGTAACAAGGTTAATTGGATTTATTTTTCAAGTCGAATAAAATAATTGGCCTTCTGTATACAAATTATAAGGGGGCTTTATCAGAATCTGTAATTAAATTAAATAACTGACCTAGATTTAAATAAAAAAAAAAATTATTATTCTCAACAAATAATATTTTTTTTTTTTTTTTGTTCAAATATATATGTATACTTTGTTAATCTAAAGAAGAACAATCGTATATGCATTAAAATTTAAAGTAAAACGAATATTTCATGAACATTTCCATTCGTTCCTTTCACAAACAAATTTACATTCAAAACAAAACTTTAGAAATGTTTTGATTAATATTCATCAAGTTGGAAAGTTATTTCATCGTGTTTAATATGCAATTTTCTCTTTCCTGAACTCTATTAAATTCTATACTCTACTGGTATAACTATTAACAAAAAAAAATCTGTGGATAAATTGACAAATACAAATATCTGAACAGAAGGAAAAAAAAAATTTATTCGAAACTTTAAAATGTTTTTGTTTTTACGGAATTATTTTTTCCTCCATATAGTTTTAAAAAAATTATTCGACTTTAGAAAATTTATTATAATTTTTAAATATTGTGAATGTCAAAAAAATATCACTTTTAGGGAAAATTGAAAGGGGAATTTTTTTTTCTTGAATAATTGTGCCTATTCAAAAGACAATAAAATTATTAAAATGATTTGTGACGAAATTTATTTTCAACATGATGGGGATTTATAAGGCTTACTATATAGGGGAGGGGAGAGAAGGTAAAATAATAATGTACAAGACGTTGATAAAGTGGTTAACACGAAAAAGACGGAGTGACGTTATATTGTACTTCGTAAACGATATTAATCCTCATATAACTTTACTTCTTGTAACACAATTGGTCGTTCTTTCCAATATAATTTACGTGCACTTCGGGAGTTCATTTTACTGTGCTTTCACCTCTATGGAATTCTCATTTCTCACATCGCGCTATAGTCACAAATTTTCAATTAAAAATAAATAAAAAAAATTGAATTAAAACGTAGGGAAAAAAAGTTCATAAAATATTTTTATCTTAATATTTTTATTTCGTGTTTTCTAATAATCAACATTTTCATTTGTGTTCTTAAATAAATATTTTGAAAGTATCGTAATGATTAATCTAAATATAATTATATATTTGATGAATAAATACAAGGTTTCATATATATAATTTTCAAATATTTCTTCAAAATTATCATCATTATTATTAGACGTTATTTAATTTATTATTTTTAATGTCAAACCCGCAATTCTATTTCCTTTTATATATTTTTCTGTGGATTTGTGTCTTACATTTCTCTTTTTTCCGGAGAGTCACTCCAAGAAAATACGTAGTTAAGAAAAACAAGGACGAATGCCGGAAGCAAGGTTTTGTCGAAATAAGTAAGACACACGTTCGTTTCAGTTTATTTTTACTTTTTTTTTTTTTTTTTTTTTTTTTTTTTTACTTTATCTGCTAAGGAACAGTATTTAAAAGAAAAACCTAAAACAATTGTAGTTTTTGTAATTTAATCAAAATTATCAATTTTCTTTTTTTTTTTAATTAAAAAGAATTGTTGCAAATTATAAATAATTATTTATCATTGTAAATACTTACTTGATAAAAATTTGTATAAATAATGTAATAGCCCAAGTTACTTCAAGGAGAAATATTACAATTGACGCTCCCCTGGAAATTTATAGAAAAAATTATTTTTTATAAAAGACAAATATATTTTACAATATTTAAAAAAAGTGATTATAGATTTAAAAAAAGACTTATGATAAAAATAATTTTGTAGTTATGCAAGTATTATTCAATATAATGTTTTCAATTATTATACGAAATAGTAAAAATTTTCTTTAAAAATAAAAAATGACATTTTAAAAATTTAATATTATCGAGTACAAAATTATTCGGTTATATGTATATACATAATTGGATCTCATCTTTAAGGAGATTTACTAGTCGAAGTCCCAATTAAGTTATCAACTATTGATTAACGCGACCCCGTCAGCGGCTGTACAAATTTATTGCATTTGCTTTGTCTCGATGGTATTGGTCTTCCCCCCCCCCTCTTTTTGGAATCAAATTTTGTTGCTTTTAATTACAACTCGATCAAGTGCCCTATAGAATGACATAAACTATTTATCCAATTACCAATTCTTTGACAATGATTATTGCGCGCGATTTTCATTTATTTCAATCTAAATGTTTACTTTCAAAATACACTCAGAGAAAAGTTTGATTTAAATCAACTAAAACATTTGGTTAAATCAATTAAATATTTCTATGTTTTTATTTCTAAAAATATTTCTATATTTAAATAGTGATTTCAAATAAAAAACAAATATATTTTTTCTATGGAAAAATTTTTTGTTTTTAAAATATTACAAAAATAATTGTTTATCGTTATTTGTCTTTGCAATTATATATTTTTTTTTTGTGAACGTTGCTATAATATTAGTTAGTTTTCAAAGTGGTGAATAAAAAATAGCTTCGAAAATAAGGGTCCAACTTTTCCCTTTTCACGTTTTGTGAATCCAGATAGAAATGAATTACGGTATATATACGGATGTTGTATTATCCTCACGTAACGTAAAACCCCATGACATGTCCGTGATAAGCCACATCTACTCCAACGCCAGAGATAACTGAAACAAAAAAGTAAAAAATAATTTCACTCGCAGTATTCCATATATTATATTCTAATTTTCATATATAAGAAAAATGTAATATTTTTAACATTTTTGTCACGCGCGCTTTTTTTTTAAAAATGACCATTGAATATAATATATATTTCAATGGACGAAAATTTCTTTTTCATAATTTATATTAATAGAAGGGAAAAATTCTTTTTGTAGAAAAAAAAAAAAATGCAAAAAATAAGACAAAAATATTTATCTCTAAAATATTTAACGCATTTTTGACATTCTATATCGACTACATGACAAAACATATTGTATATAATACTTGGATTAACCACCAAGGCTTTAGGAATTTTGTTCAACCACAAAATTTGATCTAAACCACAATTTTATTTATTTTATATTAGAAATTTTCACTTGTCTCTAAAAAATTAATATATTTTTATTTTATTAATTTTTCTTCTCACATTCTTGATATCAGAACTGGAAGAATATAAATTATCTAATATTTCAGTTTATAGACGCGTATTCACTCAAAGTTCTCTAAAATTATTATTACACATTTTTAATTAGGTCAAGTAGAGAATATCACCGACGGAAAATTTATTATGTTTTTCAATATTTTCTTATATTTTCATTAAAAAATAATTTTAATATATATATTTTCACAAAGGTTTAAAACTCAAACTTGATTTTATATAAAAGTTTTTAATATATGTTTTTTTAATATTTAATATTTAATTATTTAGCATTTAAATAATAAATAAATTATATAATTCTTTTTTAATAAGAAATTCTTTTCATTATGTATTTTTGCTCAACTAAAAAAATGTTTTAATATTCTAGTCGCGATTATATATATAGTATAATATATAATAATAAAAAAATAATTTCACAAATATTTTGCTATTATTATATGCAAGAAAAGTCTTATATTCTTTATATATATAAGAAATAACACCGCTGTTTAATAAAAGTCTAAAGAACGAGAACACTTGTGACTATATTCATGTCAACGTTCTCTAGATATCTCGGGGTTACTTGAATTTATCCATTTTCATTCCTTCATTTCAACTTTTATTATTCCTCTCTCTCTTGTTGTGTGTGTGTGTGTGAAGTTTATTGCCATGTGTTAAAAATAAAACAGATTTGAATTTCATTTTTTTTTATATAAAATTCTCGAAAATGAAATATGTTTATCGATAATTATTAAAAGTATTTTTTTAAACATACACTGAAAAAAAAATTTATTTAATTCAAATACCGGTGTATTTGGTTATTATTAAATAAATATTTACTTGAATCAAATATTTCTTATTTGAATCAAATAAATGGTATTTGCTTTAAATACTGAAATATTTGATTCAAATATTATATATTTGATTCAAATAAGAAATATTTGATTCAAGTAAATATTTATTTGATAATAACCAAATACACCGGTATGTGAATCAAATAAATTTTTTTTTCAGTGTAAAATTGTTTGTATTATCATACTTTTTATATGAAAACTTAAATATATTTAAAATTAATAGAAAAGTAACAAATTAATATAGAACTTTTTTTTCGGAGTATAATTTTAAAGTTTTTATAAATTATATATTATAATACCTCTCGCACAGACTCACAAAAAAATGGTCTTTGTTCCATTTAACGCTACTAGTTCCAATAAAAATAAAATTCCATTATTTTTGTTCTTTCAAAAAAAAAGCTTCAAAAAAATGGAAATTTGTAGGGAATATTTTATTGATAAAAAAAATGACGTGTGTTATTTTTCTCAATTTGAAATTCATCATAAATGGATGAAATATGGAAGTTTTTTGTGTCCATTTTCTCTCTCAAGAGTTCTTTTTTTTTAGTAACAAAAGTGTTAAATTATTCATTTTTCATTATCAGTTGAATTCTCTTGTAAATTGAGAACTTAATTTGAAGGACATTGAGTTTAAATCCTCTTTCTCTAGAATATTTATGTATTTTAATGAAAATATACAGTGATTTATTCGTAGTAATAAAATTATTATTATTTGATGCATTGAATTGTGAATTATATGCGCGACACGATATAGTAAATGACAGGTTACAAGTCGTGTCTCTCATTTCGCTTTGTGCTGATTGAGTGTCTCTTGTTTCGAACTTTGAGAGCAGATATATATATATATATATATGTCGCAATTTAGTCCCTTCATTGCGATTTTTATCACTGGGCATTGTTTTTTTTCAATAGGGCTTGTTCTTCTGATTGGTCCATCATAGTAAACAAAAACATGTTTTATATAAAAATTGCAATAGAGAGAAAAATGAAATTTGAAAATCGTGAAATATGAGTCATGAAATACTCGTTTCATATATACAGCTACTATGGAATCTTGAAAGAAAAGTGTATATCTTTTGCGGATTAAATTCCCTTTATATACGCTCTCTGTTATAGATTTAAGTTCACCTATTCTTGTGTGTGCTCAAGAAATTGATTTCAAAATGAACATTTGATTGTATTCTCTTTCTCTCTCTCTTCTTATGGGTAAATGATAAAATTCTCCCACCTATTTATAATCCTTATCATTCTAATCATAAATATAAATTATTTTTGATAAAAAATATTGTGATGATTTTCTTTTTTCCAACTTTAATTCATGATCGCAACTTTGGAATTATTCAAGTTTAGAAACTGCGAATGAACCACATTGCTAAAGGGTAACAAGATAGATTGTGGTTATTCACAAAGGTACTTCTTGGGTGATCTGACAGTCAATCGGACTCAAAGAGATTATGTTCTACCAAAAGCAAGCAGGTACGCTTAATTATAAGGAACAGGCTTTGCTTGTGGTTCTATTCTCGGTGGCATCAAGTTTATAAACTAATTCCTCTCCACAAACTGACAGTGTCATCGGATATTAGACAAAGACAGTGTGTACAAGATCATCTGTTTTAGAAATTAAAACCATTTTTCTTTTTCAAAAGTTACTTATAACTGTATTTATAAACAAAAAATTTTAAATTTTCAAATTACCATTTAATTCACTGAAAAATATGTACCAAATAATTTTTATTTGAACCAATAATTTTTCTAATAATTATTAAATTATTATAGAAAAATAATAATAATTATTTAATAGAAAAAAATATTTATTTGATAATAATCAAGTAACGGATTATTTAAATCAAATAATTTTTTTTCAGTGTAAATTTTAATTATTTAGTTTCAATTCTTCCCTTTAACAGTCTCAATTTCAAGTAGTAAAAGTCAATATACGGTCAGTTTAACCGCTGTCTGAAAGAATAATGTGGTTCTTTAGAAAAACAATATTATTGTTTTATTTTACAACTGCTACTGATAAATGTGCTGCCATTTTGAATAGAAATGTTATTTTCTAGTATATTATTATTATTATTATTATTATTATTATTATTATTATTATTATTCTACATTATTATTTTAACAAAGTTTTATGCGCACACTTTTTTGTGAAACGCATTTTCATATTTAAATTATACAATAAAAATGCAAACGTTTTTAAAAGCATTTACAAAAGAATTTCTTGCGATTCTTGTTTTTCCTGAGAAAAGAGAAGTTTAATTTAAATAAAGAACCACATTATTCTCTACCTCCAACCAACTGCCAGCAGTAGTACTAGGTCTGACCGTATTGACTTTTACTACTTAAGAATCAAATCAAGTACATATATAAAAGAAAAGAATTATTTTCTTGAAATATATATATCTCCAAGTACATAAATTGTAAAATAATAATAAAACCAACCACAAAAAATTTAGTTGACATTTTAATGCAAATATTTTATTGTCAAAGTCAAATACTTTTCACGTTTTGTTATATTTATACACTCAGAGAAAGGATATATATTTGTCTGAGAGGTAAAATAAATTTTATTTGAGTTAAATAAAAAAATTTTATTTGCGTTAAATAAAATTTTATATTTTAAATAAATTTTTTTTATTTGCTTTAAATAAATTTTATTTGTCTGATAAAATATTTATTTTTATACCTATATTATATGTATAAATAATTTTTTTATAATTTATTTTTGTGTGTTCAAAAATTTTAAATTTGTGAATTTATTTTCTTGAAATGAAAGATATCGCTTCTTTAATAAGCTTTGTTTTATAAGATTCAGTTATATAAGTATTTCCTGTTTGTGCTCTCGCAGACATAAAAGGTTTGCTCCATATTTTGCAAGACTTCCTGTGGTTTTCACGTTTTTTAGAAAGCTGCATTACAGCTTTATGGTTTCATACACTTCGTAAATCATACTCATTCTCCATAACTTTTCCAAATCTCCATCATAAAACTTGAAAATTTTTAAATTTCACCACATCTATTTACATAAATATGAATAATGTAGAGAAGCTTTTAAGATTTTTCAAAATTCGTTAAAGAATATATATATTTTTTTTATTTATATTATTCAAACTGTAATAATTGATAAAAAAATTTTTTTGTATATTTGAACAATATTTTTTTTTTCTATTTACAGGCATCAATTTGTTGCAGAATTGCCCCTGGAAGATATCTGTTACAGCTGGTGAGCGGATTAACTTTTTTTCATAAATTTCTTTTTTTACTTTAAGATTATAATTCTGATTTAATTAAGAGTGGAAAATTAAAAAGGAAATTTACAATTAATAATACTGACTTTCAGTATTTTTGTATAATTATATATTAATAGTGAATTTTTCTCCTATGCGATTTATTTGATAATTTTGTCACATACGATTACGGTAAACTAAAAATGAAGATATTCTTCAATAAATCAAAAAAAAAACTTTCAAGTAATTTATATAAATATAAATGATAAAGAAAATTAGAATTTCGAATTATTTTAAAATGGGCGGAGCTATTTTTAAATTATTAACCTTATACCTGGAGCTGTATGTTTACATTTAAGTACAAAGGGTACGATCATAAAATCCCAAAGATAATTAAATCAGTTGCAAATCGCGCATTGACCTGTCAAGACATGGTCATCGGGAGTGAGTGTTAAATTTCATGA